TTTTTTTTTTTTTTTGCTGTGAATGTACAAAACTGGTTTCTTAACATTTTATCATGCTGCTAATGACTGATGGTTATCCATGCTATGAATTCTCGATAGTACTAATAATACTTTGACCTACTTTCTTCTGCATCAATGAGTCTAAAGAGTATTGTTCAAGAGAAAAAAGTATTCTCAGACAAATCCAGGATCTCTTTCAGGGTCGTATAGACGTTCCCCTGTGTAGTACCCTTAGCTATTAGTGCTGTTAAAGTTATTCATATCTATATTATTTATGTGGTAACAAAAACGATTACAAAAAACCGAGCCTTTAGTCGAATGACTAAGCACCAGATAATTGTACGACGACGGCTTATGGGAAGACCAGACCACGTATAACTTAAAGGTTTCAAATCCAGCCCCCAGGTGTGGGTGGTTCTCACATATTGCTTCGTGAAAGTTTTTGACGAAAAAATCGCTAACTCGGGAACTAGGAAAGCGGGGAGAATCTTCTCTTGTTCGAGACGTTTACGATGCAAGTTTGACGAATCTAGAAATTTGTCAGGAAATAATGTACAGTACAACCGATGGTCAAGAACAGTGAAAGGAAAGAGATACGACGTGGAGTGCGGAGCGCGCAAGTGTAGGAAAAATGAGGGAATTTTGTTAATTAATCATTACCACATATGCTAGGCCATCTGACAGTTGTGCGGCAGCAATAACGTGGCGTGAGGATAAATTGCAGCTGGGTAAATAATATAACATGAGTGTTAAGTACAGCGAGGCAAATAACTTCGTTTCCGAGGTACACGAATTAAATCAATCCTTTTTTATAAAAAAAAGGAAAAAAATTGGTATTTTGATATTTTTGTTATTTTCTGGTCGCTGTGTTGCCATTTGAATGTTAACGAAATGTCACTTATTCGAAGCTGTATTTTTTGAATTCTTTTTTTCCGAAAAATGTTCAAAACTACTCGCAGCAGGAAATTTGGCTCCCGATTGTAAGCTGCCACTTCCCTATATTTACTATGCCTTAATGTGTATAATTCGAATTGAGAAATTCGTGTATTGCTTCTGG